CGGAGACTGTCTCTCGAAACATGTACATGAAGGGAGCCGGAGACTGTCTCTCGAAACATGTACATGAAGGGAGCCGGAGACTGTCTCTCGAAACATGTACATGAAGGGAGCCGGAGACTGTCTGTCGAAACATGTACATGAAGGGAGCCGGAGACTGTCTGTCGAAACATGTACATGAAAGGAGCCGGAGACTGTCTCTCGAAACTTGTACATGAAGGGAGCCGGAGACTGTCTATCGAAACTCGTACATGAAGGGAGCCGGAGACTGTCTATCGAAACATGTACATGAAGGGAGCCGGAGACTGTCTATCGAAACTTGTACATGAAGCGAGCCGGATACTGTCTGTCGAAACTCGTACATGAAAGGAGTCGGAGACTGTCTGTCGAAACTCGTACATGAAGGGATCCGGAGACTGTCTCTCGAAACGTGTACATGAAATTGAGAGGGGAGACTATTTCGAATCTTATACATGAAAATTGGGAAGACCGTGTTTTGAAATTTGTCTGTGGGGAAACTTCATGTACATGAAGGGGGGGGATACTGTGTCTCAAACTTACAGACGTAATATAGTTATATACTTGAACAATAGTATAGTTATGTATCCTAAACATCTGATCCCTAATTTACATAATTACTTAGATAATCAGTTTTGAAGTACTATATTAACTCATAATAGAGTTCTTGAGCAAGGAAAGAAGTGACAATAATCTTACAAAGTAAACAGTTTAATTAGCGAACTCTAACTCATATACATGGTACAAACCGTTGTACAGTTCTAACTCATATACATGGTACAAACCTTTGTACAGCTCTAACTCATATAAATGGTACAAACCGTTGTACACTTCTAACTGGTATACATGGTACAAACAGTTGTACAGTTCTAGTTTATATACGTGGTACAAACCGTTGTTCAGCTCTAACTCATTAAGTAAGAACATGACTTTGAACAATACAACCAGGGGTTATATCAGCAAGCTAGGCATATATTAGATTTCTGTTTTAACTGATACAAGGAACCAGATTATATGTTCTTCATTTTGGAACCAGAGTTATGGTAATATATGTTGAATATATATATATATATGTTGGTAACATATGTCTTAGAACTGTACCAGGGTTTTACCATGTACATCAATATATATATATGTTGGTAATATATGTCTTAGAACTGTACCAGGGTTTTACCATGTACATCAATATATATATATGTTGGTAATATATGTCTTAGAACTGTACCAGGGTTTTACCATGTACATCAATATATATATGTTGGTAATATATGTCTTAGAACTGTACCAGGGTTTTACCATGTACATCAATCAATATATATATATGTTGGTAATATATCTCTTAGAACTGTACCAGGGTTTTTACCACGTACATCAGTTAGAACTGTACAACGGTTTGTACCGTGTACATGAGTTAGAGCGGTACAACGGTTTGTACCACGTATATAAGCTAGAACTGCACAACGGTTTGTACCACGTATATAAGCTAGAACTGCACAACGGTTTGTACCATGTATATGAGTTAGAACTGTACAACGGTTTGTACTACGTATATAAGCTAGAAATGTACAACTGTTTGTACCATGTACAAGGGTTATACTAATGAATTAAGTAAGAACATGACTTTGAACAATACAACTAAGGGTTATACCAATGAATTAAGTAAGAGCTTAACTTTGAACAATACAACCAAGAGTTATATCAATGAGTTAAGTAAGAACATGACTCTGAACAATACAACCAAGGGTTATACCAATGAATTAAGTAAGAACATGACTTTGAACAATACAACCAAGGGTTATACCAATGAACAGTTAAGTAAGAACATGACTTTGAACAATACAACCAAGGGTCATATCAATGAGTTAAGTAAGAACATGACTTTGAACAATACAACCAAGGGTTATACCAATGAATTAAGTAAGAACATGACTTTGAACAATACAACCAAGGGTTATATCAATGAGTTAAGTAAGAACATGACTTTGAACAATACAACTAAGGGTTATACCAATGAATTAAGTAAGAGCTTAACTTTGAACAATACAACCAAGGGTTATACCAATGAATTAAGTAAGAACATGACTTTGAACAATACAACCAAGGGTTATACCAATGAATTAAGTAAGAACATGACTTTGAACAATACAACCCATTGATATGACCCTTGGTTGTATTGTTCAAAGTCATGTTCTTACTTAACTCATTGATATAACCCTTGGTTGTATTGTTCAAAGTTAAGCTCTTACTTAATTCATTGGTATAACCCTTAGTTGTATTGTTCAAAGTCATGTTCTTACTTAATTCATTGGTATAACCCTTGGTTGTATTGTTCAAAGTCATGCTCCTACGTATCCCCTGCTTTTATTCTCTAAGTCATGCTTCTACTCACACGTGGTAGAATCTTCAATAAACTTCGGAATAATTAGTATTATCAATTTTCGCTAGTTATAAAAACTCTGTTGTTTAATGTTTAACGTAGTGCTTCAGTGTTTGAGTCGTTGACGACTTTGTTACTACTATAGCTTTATGGCTACCCGAGTATGTGTTCATATTAATATTGTTACAATTCAGATGTCTGTTATCACTATTACAGTTCGAATAAATGTCTGAGTGTGTGTTGAAATTATTACTATTATTATTAATTTAACGTCCGAGTCTGTGTTGATATTATCATTATTATATTTAACGTCCGAGTCTGTGTTGATATTATCATTATTATATTAAACGTCTGAGTCTGTGTTGATATTATTACTATTATTATTAATTTAACGTCTGAGTCTGTGTTGATATTATCATTATTATATTTAACGTCCGAGTCTGTGTTGATATTATCATTATTATATTAAACGTCTGAGTCTGTGTTGATATTATTACTATTATTGTTGGATGAACGTCTAATATTATTATTGTTATAGTTCTATTGACAATCTAATAATTTTAATTGTAATTTCTGTGAAATTTCCAGTCTTAAGGCTTCCTCTTGATGTTAATTGTTTTTATTCTAACACATTTTTAAGTTTTAATTTGTCACGTAATTCAACATATTTAATTGCTTGACTTACCCACACACGTTTCGTTCTCTAGAATGTATCCTTTATTACATATGCACCATTGTCTATCGTTAATCTTCACACATTCGCCACCTTCTCCACAGTTAAGGGTAGAATTCAACATATTTAATTGCTTGACTTACCCACGCACGTTTTGTTCTCTAGAATGTATCCTTTATTACATATGCACCATTGTATATCGTTAATCTTCACACATTCGCCACCTTCTCCACAGTTAAGGGTAGAATTCACACACTCAGTTCTATTTGGCAGCACTAAAAATGATATAAATGATCCGAGGATGAAGAAGGTGGAATGACATATAGCTGTTAATAAAAACCGAGAAAGACAAAACAATATATATTCATTGAGGTGTTTGTAGCTATCATAAGTTAACCATTAAGGTGTCTTTTTTTATCTTAAGATAATCATTAAGGTGCGTGTTTCTATCATAAGGTTGTCATTAAGGTGTTTGTTTCTATTATAATATAATCATTAAGGTGTTATTTTCTATTATAAAATAATCATTAAGGTACTTATTTCTATTATAAAATAATCATTAAGGTACTTATTTCTATTATAAGATAATCATTAAGGTGTTCGTTTCTATTATAAGATAATCATTAAGGTGTTCGTTTTTATTTTATAACCTAATCATTAAGTTGTTCGTTTTTATTTTATAACCTAATCATGAAGGTGTTTATTTTTATTATAAGATAATCATTAAGGTGTTCGTTTCTATTATAAGATAATCATTAAGGTGTTCGTTTTTATTTTATAACCTAATCATGAAGGTGTTTGTTTCTGTTATAAGATTATCATTAAGGTGTTCGTTTCTATTTACAACCTAATCATGAGGGTGTTTATTTCTATCATAAGATTATCATTAAGGTGATCGTTTCTATAATAAGATAATCATTAAGGTGTTCGTTTCTATTATAAGATTATCACTAAGGTGATCGTTTCTATAATAAGATAATCATTAAGGTGTTTCATACCACATTTGTCCTTTATTTTATTGAATGGGTCGTTACACTCACAAATGTAACCTTTGGTTGAATTCGTCGTCTTACAGACTTCATTTTCTGAACAGTTGTTGCTGCCAGTTTCACAAAATGTTGCTGTAAACACAAATATTTCTACAGTTACTGCCAGTTTCACAAAATGTTGCTGTAAACACAAATATTTCTACAGTTTCTGCCAGTTTCACAAAATGTTGCTGTAAATACAAATATTTCTACAGTTACAGGGGAAACAGGAAATGAGGTAGACTTCCGGTCACCAGATTACATAAGTTCTTGAATATAATGTACATATTTGAACTTGAAATGTTAATATTCATTCATTTAAATTCATTTGAATTTCAAATATTAGTTCTTTTACTGCACTATAAGAGGCAAAATCCTAGTAATTTATCTCTGTTAAAGTTACACGGTTGGAGCTTTTTAAAGAATTTTCATTGGTCACTAGTGGTATATAGTTCTACGTACGTTCTTACCAGGAGTCACGGAATCGGTGAAAGAAACACCTAGTTTTTATGTGTTTTGTAACTAAGTTATGTTATTTTTTAAACGCTAGTTTCAATAAGAGTGTCATTAGATTGATTAGAAATAATATATTGAATTTATTTTTTAAATCATGTGTTTATATAAATATAATAGTACTGTCTGTTGTCTGTCCATGTAACTACTTCGCAGGGTGGATCTTCACCAAAGTTGGTATGAAGGTTCATTACGTCCATTCGGAGATACATGCAAATTTGCGGTTTCATATTTTGTGTTTTTCAGTTTTTACGGTCGTTTTTGCGTTTTGTACAATTACATATAAGGGAAGCAACTTTCATGTCCTAAGATAGCCTTTCATTAATCATGAATTTACTCCAGCTACGTTTAAATATGACAATTGTTTTGTATAGATACTTATTGTATACAATTAGGGTTAACTTAAACTGGCTGAATTTCATGAGTAGGATTACGGCCGATAATGTCGCCAACAGTAAAGTAAAGACTAAAATACAGAGGATGTTTTGTGGGTCTCCTTATTTCGAAATTAAACATTTACCTTCGCAATATTTTGTGTTCTTGTTTCTTGCGTAGCCATTTTTACACGTGCAATTGATATTTCTCGGATTATCCTCAGGTCCTCGTTTACACTCTTCATTTGGGTTGTCACAAAATTCTGCACAGAAATTTTTACCTGCAAAAATAAATTGATTTATGTTGAAAATTTAAAAGGTGGAATACAAAACTCTTTGTTTTTTGTTTCGTTTTTTTTTTACATATTTTAGTTTGAAGGTTCAGCGGATTTGTCTGTCATAGCTTTAACTAAAAGTAACCAGTAAAATCGTTGGAAAAGTTTTAAATACAACTTGAAACGAAAAGAATCATAAACGGTAAAACTCTGATATAATAAAGGGGTTAGTTTCATTGCGTTTCAACTTTAATTAGACAACAATTCTTGTAATCTTCAAAAGAAAAACAACTGACCTGAATGTTTTTATTTTAACTATAAATAAAGTGCGCTTACAATGTTTCAAAGAAGGTGTAAATAAAAAAACATTCAATCTTATGACAAATAATTGTTATGTGAAATTCTTTACTGGCTAACTTTTTAGTTCTAACATCAATGATTATCATTTTTTAAGGTCTAAGATAACATTTCATAATAATTACGTAATTAACTTAATTTAAGGTCCAGCATAACATTTCATAATAATTACGTAATTAACTTAATTTAAGGTCTAACATAACATTTCATAATAATTACGTAAATAACTTAATTCAAGGTCTAACATAACATTTCATAATAATTACGTAAGTAACTTAATTGAACGTCTAACATAACATTTCATAATAATTACGTAAGTAACTTAATTGAACGTCTAACATAACATTTCATAATAATTACGTAAGTAGCTTAATTGAACGTCTAACATAACATTTCGTAATAATTACGTAAGTAACTTAATTGAACGTCTAACATAACATTTCATAATAATTAGGTAAGTAACTTAATTTAAGGTCTAGCATAACATTTCATAATAATTACGTAAGTAACTTAATTTAAGGTCTAACATAACATTTCATAATAATTACGTAAGTAACTTAATTCAAGGTCTAACATAACATTTCATAATAATTACGTAAGTAACTTAATTTATGTCTAACATAACATTTCATAATAATTACGTAAGTAACTTAATTCGAGGTCTAACATAACATTTCGTAATAATTACGTAAGTAACTTAATTTAAGGTCTAACATAACATTTCATAATAATTACGTAAGTAACTTAATTCAAGGTCTAACATAACATTTCGTAATAATTACGTAAGTAACTTAATTTAAGGTCTAACATAACATTTCATAATAATTACTTAGATAAGCTAATCAACTTTTCCTGGTGAAATACGACAACATGAAACCAGTGATCTGTGTCGTTAAAACGCATTTATTAACCATTTTCTCAGTAAAATCAATAAAGCTATCAGAAGGGTTGCAACATATTACAGATAACGATATACACTACGCATTGTCACCGTATCTATGATAACAGTGATACTCATGACGTATTTACTTATACTTATTAGGTTAATGAGATAAAAGTCTCTTACAGTTTGTAAAGGAACGTTGAAACCGATTATTCCTGTAATACTATAAGTGAAACCGGTCATTCCTGGAATTGTTTTTAACTAGTCAAGCATCCCAGTAAAATAAAATGAAATAAAGTATACTTATTAGGTTTCTATTAATGAGATAAAAGTCTCTTACAGTTTGTAAAGGAACGTTGAAACCGATTATTCCTGTAATACTATAAGTGAAACCGGTCATTCCTGGAATTGTTTTTAACTAGTCAAGCATCCCAGTAATAAAGTTGTAAATAATTTGACTTGAAAGAAAATCAGTTTGAATTAAGAACTCAACAGAAAACTTGCTTATAAGCTTAGATCTGAGATGTTATTTTGATATTGTATATCATTACTTATTATATCAATTGAAGTCTAGATGCAGACGGATTGGTTAAAACATGTTTCGGTAGACTCACCCACACAAGGGCTTGTGTCGTTACTCCGCTCGTAATCTTCCTTACACACACATTTGTCTTCCTGTGTGTCACAAGTCTCATACATATCACAACCTTCATATAAACAGGTAATGATGCCTGAAAAAAAAAAAATCTGTAATGAAGGTTCGTAACGGAAATGGACTTATAATTATTAATGACAAAGTTTTATTTTAGCGCAAAGTTACACAATGGGCTATTTGTATTTTGTTCAAAACGGGAACCGAAACCCGTATTTTTAGCATTCCAAATCCATAAACTTACCACTGAACCACCGAGGAACGATAATGTTTTATACTTCGATAGAAAAACAGTTTGAACGGTTTTATTATTTTGTGTAAATAGAAGGTATATATATAAATACACAGCTGTATAACTTTGATAGACTCACCTAATAACATTAGTATGTTAGAAAATATAATATAAAAAAAGGAGAAAATAAAATATATGATAATTGTATAAACTGTATATTTTACATTAAATCAACTTATAATCGTAAGATAATCGTAAACGTTAAGCAAATCTTCTAATTGGATTACATTTTTTGATGAGATCGAAAAATCTGATAAAATAGTTCTCAAAAACAACTGTCCCACCTTTACACGTTTCCTCGTTGTAGTCAAAGTACGTCGAATTGACATTACATGAACAACTAAAATATTTGGTTTTATTGTTAGGAACACATGTAGCATTGTTATCCCTGCAATATTCATCGCCACTTGTATAATTAACAAAGTTGTATTTACAGTAGTTTAACTCTTCACAGTTTATACCAACAAACCCATAACGACAATCGCACGAATAGTTGTTGGTGTTCTTTAAACATGTTCCTTCATTCAGGCATGGGTTTGATGCACAAGGATCAAAGGATTCTGTTGTGGTGATAGTTTTCTCGATCGTTGAAGTACTAAAGAATGTAGGTTTTGAAGAAGATCCAGTAGAAGAGCTAGTGGAACCACTTAGTGTTGAAGAAGATTCAGTAGAAGAGTCTGTTGAAGAGCTAGTGGCACCACTTAGTGTTGAAGAAGATTCAGTAGAAGAGTCTGTTGAAGAGCTAGTGGCACCACTTAGTGTTGAAGAAGATTCAGTAGAAGAGTCTGTTGAAGAGCTAGTGGCACCACTTAGTGTTGAAGAAGATCCAGTAAAAGAGTCTGCTGAAGAGTTAGTGGCACCACTTAGTGTTGAAGAAGATCCAGTAAAAGAGTCTGCTGAAGAGTTAGTGGAACCACTTAGTGTTGAAGAAGATCCAGTAACAGAGTCTGCTGAAGAGTTAGTGGAACCACTTAGTGTTGAAGAAGATTCAATAGAAGAATCTGTTGAAAAGTTAGTGGAACCATTTAGTGCTGAAGAAGAAGAACCAGTAGATGATCCTGTGGACGAGTTAAAGTTAACGAGAAATAATTATTATCACATGATTTGAGAGCAGTTTCAGTACTGTCATCACACCAGTCTTCTTTCTCTACACTAACTTTCGTTTATTAAAATGAAAGATTTAAGGCTATATTTTGGAAAACAACTGAAAAGGCTCTGTATAAAAACTAAATGAACGTAGAACGATAATTTCTAAGAAATGGTATTTAATACCTTAACCAAATCCCTCTAGTCATCTACAGTTGTTTATTTCTGCTACAAAGAACATGTATTTTGTGAAGATGCTCGGCTATTACAGCATCTCGTTTCTAATCAAGATGTCATGAAGTATCTAATAGGCTGATAGACCTTAAACGTAGAATGGTTAATGAGAACCAGATGAAGAGGGGAAGGGAGGGAGTATAAGCGTTCATATCCTTTCTGTTACAATAGGACATCTCAGGTCAATTTTGGAAACAAAAGTTTGTACCAGTGTTGAAATGAGGACAGAGCCATCAGCCAAGGAGTAAAAAGTCATTGGGATGAAGGTCAGCATAGCCATAATACAGCGCAAACTGCACGACCAATGACTTTATGGAACAGCAGTACTAACAAGCCAGGGATTACAAGTCTGCTTATAAAGCAGCGACTAAAGTGGTGTTAGAAACGTCGGGAGTGGTTTATTGAAAAGTGGAAACAGATCATGAGGAGTGATTTTGAGTCGCGTGAACGAACATGTTCGCCCTTTCAGCCGTGCGGACGTTATAATGTCAATATGAATACAATTATTCCTTTATGAAAGAACATTCCAAGAGTTAGTGGTAGGTGATGTTGACTAGCTGCCTTCCCTGTAATCTATAACTGTTAAATTAGGGATGATTAGGGCAAATAGTCTTGAGGTAGCTTTGTGTGAAATTCGAAATAAACCAATCTGAAGTCATCAAGAAAACGTTGTCAGTTCAAAGTGTTATATGAAAGTTGAAAACTAGAATAAAATGCAACACCTGCAGATAAACTTGGGCTGATTTTAGGTGGCTGTACTATAGTAATACTAAACACCATCCTTTACAGCCACTTACTATAGTAATACTAAACACCATCCTTTACAGCCACTTACTATAGTAATACTAAAACCATCCTTTACAGCCATCTACTATAGTAATACTTACTGCTATACATCTACTGTAGTTTCATCATCATTAATTTAATATTTTGATTATCACGTTTTCTGAGTGTCATCATTATTTAGCAGTATTTTTAACTATTACGTTTACTTTTCTATGTTTTGTTTTTTCGGTTACTGAATTGATATTTTAACATTTAAGTTTTCTGAGTTTGATTATTATTGGGTCAATATTTTAACTATTAAATTTTTTTATGTTTCGTCCCCATTAAATCAAAATTTTAACTGTTTTTATCGTTATTAAATTAATATTTTAACTATTAAATTTTCTATGTTTCCTCATTATTAAATTAATATTTTACTTCACAAAATAACATTCCTTTGTTGTTTGCGTGGTTGGTATTTAGCGCAAAGGTTTGTAATTGGTTGTTTGCGCCATATCCACCACTAACCCTAAACCATCATGTTATAATCCCTAAGTCTACCATTGAGCCACTGAGGGATATTTACTGGAGAACTAAAACATTCCAAAACTCCTTCTATAAACGTTCCCCAACTGAAATTAATATCTCCCTTACATTAAATATGTTAATTAATATAATAATAATGTTCCTATAAAACATTTTAAGGTATTTCAAAGATAATTACAACCAAAACAAATATAATATAATTTTATAATTCCACCTTTCGTTAACCATTGTATTCTGTATGGTGGGAGCTTGAAGTTATCATGAATAAGACATTTGCTAGCTTACCAACAGGTTCGGAAACATAAAAACCGCTCAGGATTGAAAGAGAGAACACAGTTATGACGAAAAAACTCAAATCGAAATTTAACAAGTGCCTCATTGTTCTGATTGGACTGTTTTAACAATTAAACGTTTTCTGTTCTAACAAAGATTGTTTCTGTTTGATTCTGCTAGATGCATAGACATTTATTAAACCCTTATCAGCTCTTATCGTCCGTTGGTGTTCTTGAAACTCGAAACGATCATGGTATCTGCTTTGTGAACTTTCGAATTTCTCGAAAAATCAGGGTGACGTTTCTCAAGGACTTATTGAATGACGTCACTGAAGTTAAGCCTGAAATTAGTGTATTTGTAATACACAAAACTACAATTTCTAATAATAATACACTGGACGACTTCAAAGAAATATTCAAATAAGGTGGCTAATAATAAATGGCAGAGAAGTTATATTCCAGTTTGATGACATCAAAAATATTTCATATTTGGCTAAGTTTAGAAAAGTCATGAATGTATTATATTTGGTAAGTTTTAAAAAAATCGTGAATATATTTTATTAGGTTCTGATTTTAAAAATCTATATTTCATTTGACTGTCGTTAGAAATGTCATGAATATATTTCATTAGGCTATGATTTAAAAAATCATGACTATTTTATTTGACCGTGGTTAGAAATATCATGAATATATTTTATTTGACAATAATTAGAAAAGTCATGAATATATTTCATTAGGCTATGATTAGAAACATCATGAATATATTTTATTAGGCTATGATTAGAAACATCATGAATATATTTCATTAGGCTATGATTAGAAACATCATGAATATATTTTATTAGGCTAGATTAGAAACATCATGAATATATTTTATTAGGCTATGATTAGAAACATCATGAATATATTTTATTAGGCTATGATTAGAAACATCATGAATATATTTTATTAGGCTATGATTAGAAACATCATGAATATATTTCCTATGGTTACGTTTGTTTAAGTTCTTCCTAAGCAGATTTGATTTGGCTAAGCCTAAAAGCCCCCAGTGGCACAGCAGTAAGTTTACGGACTTATAACTCTAGAATCGACTTTCGATAACCGTCATTGGCACAGAACAAATAGCCCATTGTGTAAGTTTACGGACTTATAACTCTAGAATCGACTTTCGATAACCGTCATTGGCACAGAACAAATAGCCCATTGTGTAAGTTTACGAACTTATAACTCTAGAATCGACTTTCGATAACCGTCATTGGCACAGAACAAATAGCCCATTGTGTAAGTTTACGGACTTATAACTCTAGAATCGACTTTCGATAACCGTCATGGGCACAGAACAAATAGCCCATTGTGTAAGTT